CCCCAAAACCCCAAAACCCCGTAAGTACATTTATTAAAAAATTTAATTAAAAACATATTAGTGACTAATTTATTTAAAGTGTATTTATAGTATGAGAGGATATATATGAAATTTCAGGAGTTCAACTTAAAATTACTAAAACTTCTATAAATTTCAATAGTTGTTAAGGAATTTTGAAATCCTATTTCTTTGTTCGTCGGTCCAATCCTCTATATTGATTAGATAAAGCATTTTGTTAGAATAAATCATTTCATTTCTAAGGCTTCTGAATATTTCTAAAAGATTATAAAAACATGAGTAAGAAGCTTACTTGCTATAAATAGAATAATAATGACAAAGAGTAGTACAATAAATGCAGTAAACATTACAATGAATTTAACCTTCTCACCATAATTGAATTCTAAGATAGTGTCTAGGGCCTTCTTTTACATGTCAAGCCAGGGTTTAGAGAGAATTCTTGTTTAGACATCTTGAGTCTCTAAGAATTGCTTATCATTTATTACTTTTTTAATTCCTTCAAGGGATCTCTTGAGCTTAGGAAATTATACTCTTATTGCCTAATAGTTTTAGACTTGCTGATAAAAGAATAATGTCAATCCTTAAGCAGCAAGTCCAGCTGCAGATTATTTACATAGAGAGGTTGTTACATTATAAAGAGGATCTGAAGATAGATTGTTGAAAAAATGATCGCAAAATTCCTAAGTCTCAAATTTGTTTATTTCCTCCTGAATATTAGCTATTTAAATGTTTCTTTTATTAACAATGACCTATTGATAAGTTGTCTCTTCAGTGTATACTCTTGTCAAATAATAGTTTATTTCTTCTTATCCCCCGTTAATATATTCAGTTCTGTTCTTATAAAACGTTTACAACACTCCAAATATGGCATTTTCCTTTGATGTCTTTCTCGAGTAGATAGCAGTCAAGACATCGATATCATTGACTAGCTACTTGAATGTTTCAGCACTAATGTAATAGAAAATCACAAAATAAGAGCAAATGACAGCAGCGTTTATAAGGATAACCAGCAAATACTTGATAAGTTTTCTTCTAATTTATGATTTAAACTTTTACCTCAGGACTTCCATTCCTTTTTTAGTCTCTCTGGTCTTTTCATCCTCTTAAATGCTAGCTGCAGAGGCTTCCTTCACATTGCTCAGATTATCATCATTACTGTTTTCACTTTGATCTTCTTCATCTTAATCTAAGTTCTATACTTCTTCTTGATCTTGAAATTCTAAATCTTCTCTCTTTATGCTCTCACTTATCTTCTTTTAAAATAGCTTCTTACTGCTCTTCCTTCTCGATTTAGGTCTCATTGTTCCTGACTTTTTAGCCTTGACTTTAAGCTAATCCACTATATCGTCTTTTGTTTCATTACTTAAATAGGTCAAAAAATCATCCACCATCTTCACACATTTGTTGATCTCTTCATGACTAAAATCCAGGAATAAATTTATTAGTGAACTAGTCCTTCCAGTAATTTTAAGAGTAAACGGACTTACTAAAAATGAGCAGGCTACTATCAAGCCTATGCAAATATAAGTCATTGTTGCAGTGTATTAAGTTTTAGATGCAATATCTGCTCTCATTGCATCATAAGTCCTTGTGAATATTCTGACGTCATTATATATGTTATGATTTTAGTTTTAGCACAAAAAGTATAATTACTGTTCAATAGAAGTTGCACTATTAGGCATATTAAAAAGTGAGCTATTCAATACTTGTGGATTTTAAGTGACAAATACACTTTGTCCCCTAACTCTTGCCTACTCTATAACGTCACTTATCTAGCCTAAGTAATAATATATAGATTGAGAGGGCGTCAATGTTTTATTATAAAACTAATTTTTAAAATCTATCTACTGAATCTCCAATTTAACCCCCTCTTCAAAAAGTTGTAATGACTCTAGCTCAACCTAAAAGTTTCTGAAATCCTCTGAGTATTGATCTAGATAGTTAAGATAAAATGAGAATCTATCATCAAGCACTGAGTTATTATTGTCTTGGTATCCATTTGCTATAAATATAAGTGTAAGTATGACTGGTCTGACTATCCTAAAGCAGCTAAGTCTTGATAAAGAGATATGAGTAACTTTAAGACCATAATCTGACTACTTAAAGTTCATGAAGGACAAAATGAATTCAACTACACTAGTCATTAAAACAACAAAGTACAGCATGAGAAAGACTTGCATTACGAATTTAAGAGTGCTTGGAGTATTCGTTTGATTAATTTATTCAGTGAATTTAGAGTAGGCAAGGTATATATTTTCTGAAGCACTTGATTAAGAGCAAGATGACTAAGAATGAAAATCCATAATCTCATTTAATGACTCGTAATTTATTGATTCTTTTGCTTCTTCTTATATCTCTTTTACCTTCAAGGAGTTCCTTAAAGTTTTCATTTTGCTGTATCCTTAGTTTTCGATTAAAGTCTTGCTTTTGAAAGTTATATTAGAATTTTGAATGATATAGAGAATAGGCATTTTTACAAGACCATCATGAAAACTTTCAATAACACATTTTATCATAAAGTCTGAGACATAGCTATTATCGTAGGATCTTTGCTGTGATGATGTGTTTTGTACAGAACCTGATTTATCGTCATTAATGTTAAACCTACTGCTAGGCATCAATATTGTTTCATTCCTAACAATTAGTCCCTCCTCATATTTAGCAATCGCCTTGTATTCAAAACCTGAAAATAATCTCTCCTTGAAGCCAATACCTGAATCATTCAGCTAAAATAAGTCCTCCAAATGAATGGAAAATGTACTTTGATCTTACATTTTATTAATAATCTTCTATGATAATCCGCAAATCTGTTTACAATTCTTAGAAAATTCATAAACCTTTAATTCATCATCCAGCACCAGGTATCCTATCAATGGCTATTAGAGTTGATCTTGAAAATCAATAAATGGGTTATAATTAACCTCCTCAGCAAGGTCAAAAAACATGTTGAATGATTTGTAGTTCAGAAAGTTTATAAATATAGATAGAGTAATATGCACCACATTGCCTTTTTTTTATTTTAGCAAAGCTATTCTTTCTTTATTAAGAACATTTGACTTTCCAGTTTCGAAAAACTTACTTATAAACAGATGATGGTTATCTGAGATTAAATTAGGCATAAGTACATTTATTTTTAATCTTTGAATTGTACCACTATCGTACTTCGTTAATTTTGTCCCATTTTTATTGATGAATCTGATTGACATTGGTTTTTTAAAATCAAAATCTGCAACAATTATTCCCTTATTGTGTGACTTTGCATTTATGAGTTCAGATTTAAACATTTTGTGTAAATTTTAAGAGTTTCTGTGCTTTTACATTTCATCTAGACATTCTTTGCTCTTAAAAACTACAAATTTGTAGAAAGCTGCCATATAGAGGTACAACTTTTGATCCACATTTTGACTTAATTTTGACTCTATTTTATTGTATAAGCTATTAATTTTGTCTATTTTTTTTGTTATTTTTATTCCTAGTCTGTATATATCTACATCTAGTTTTTAGATCTATAAAGTTTTCCAAAACAAGGATATCTACTCAGAAGTAACATGTAAGTAATTCTCAAATTTGGTCATTAGCCTATTGCTTTCAATAACTTCCTAAACATTTATTGTTGAGCTTGAGGTATCTGATTGATTTTTTTCAAGTATAATACTCTCGAAGTAGTAGATGTGAATAATTTTGATATTTTTAATCATGAAGTTGTCTCCTTTGCTGTGATTTAGCATGTCAATTATTTGAAAATGTGCTAAATTCTCATTCTTTCTTATCAGTAGAGTGAAAAATATTTTGAGCAAGAACAGTTTGTAATCCTGCTATTCTAATTTGTTTAGGTGATCATTAAAGAAATGATTAATGACTTGATGATATTTATTTTTCTTTCCAGCTTTGATTGATCTTGATTTCTTTTGAGCTAGAGAGATATCTTAAATATTAATCATTGATTCAGGTTCATTTATGTGATGGGTTTCACTTCCATCTTTTGCCTAATTTAATCATGTCTCTTGTGCTCTTCTAAAGACCATTTTTTTTTCATCAAGATTTTATAACTTATTTTTATTTTTAACTTTGCCGTTTCTTCTCTAAGCTTGAACTTCATACTTAGCATTAACTGATAGTTTATTAAGGTTTTTTAAAGATCCAGTCTCTTAGAAAAATTGTAACTTGGTTTAAGTAAGTTCTTAATTTGATTCAATTCTTTCATTTTTGGTATCTTGATCCTCTACAGTATTTATGCAATTTATAGTCTAATGCACACTATTAAATGTGTTGATCTTGCATGAACTATCTATGATCTGTTAAGTAGATGGATGCTTCTAGCTTTAATGAAACAACTTCTGTTCTAACTCATCAAAGTATTAATTGCATTCTAGTAAATGCATGAATCTAAATTAGGCAATAATTGTATCAAGATAATTGTTTTTGTCTATTAAGCTCAATAAGTAATAACAATAGAGCTGATAAACTCTACTTAGATAATCTGGATGCTTCTCACCAACAATAATTACACTTTAATATCTGTATATATTAACTAAATAGGAAGCTAAAAAAATACTAAAAGCCATTACAAGTGCGGCTATGATAATATAGAATGTATCTCGAAAAAGGTATTAAAAAATATGAAAAACTAGCCAGTGCAGTAAAAGACATGAAATGTATACATGAAACTTATGGATTCTCTAGTTCCATATAAGACATCTTGTGGATCTTAAATGTATTTAAATCATTAAAACTATTATAGCAAGAAAATTAATAGAATATCTTATAGAGCTGTCATCATGGAAGCAAAACAAGCAAGCTATTAAAATCTTGTAAGTTAATTCGAGTACAAAAGGCTAGATTTAGTTTTCAGACCAAGGAAGTAGCCTATTTGGTATGAAAAGATTAAAGTAGACCGTAATAATCCACATTAGAGACATAAGACTGAATAGTGATACCAAAGTTAATGCTAGATTATTACTAGTTAATCCAAATTTGTTGAAATTCAGGTTAAATATGATAGTGTTGATCATAAAAGTAAAAACAACTGTTCTTAGCATGGTTAGCATTAATGATGCGATTTTGAACATTAGATTTTTTTCATTCTGCTCTTTTCTGTACTAGAGGCTGATTATGATTAATAGTACGAAAATAATTCCAAGATAGCCAGTAATAATCAAAAGTCAAGTCAAATTTATTGAATCATTATCGCTGATATAAATACCTTAAACGTTCTGATTTATGCTATAGAGCAAACCTTGACTTGAAATTGAGAATATGCTCGCAATACTTAAAGCTTGTAATATGAGATCTAATCCAATGAAAGCTAAATATACTTCTACTGAAACAGCATTGTTATTGATCAGTAGCCTATAAAAATAGTATCATAAAATCTTACCAAAAAACTCTGGCTAATATGGGTTATGCTTCTTTGCTATGACCTTAAAAAGTTTTACTATCCATTTTCTTAAGCTCTATACTCCGTAAATGAATATTATTGAAATTTAATAAAATCTAAATTCTCCTATTATAATTCGAAAAGAAATTAAGAATATTTGATTAAGTTGTAACAAATACAATATATGCCACTATTTTAATCTCATGGGGTTTTGGGGTTTTGGGGAGATCGGAAGAG